AGCTTTCTACGGGCTTCTTCAGCTTGAGCCCGTGCCTGCGCTGATAGTGCGCGGCGCTTGCGAATGCGCTCCTCCAGCGTTGATCGGTTCCGTTTGACATGGACCCATTCCATTGTTGGCGGCTTGGAGGAACCACCATTCGTTGATTGTTGAGGCTGCTTGCCTCTTTTGTTCTTCAGATCCACGTTGTAGCGGATCCCGTCAACTGACTCCATGGCCTTTGCGAATCGTTTCGCAAGGCGTTGACGTTGCCTTTGGCGGGCTCTCTTCGAGAGAGTCACCACGCCCTCTGTGGCAGAAGAGTTGGCCAGAGCAGATCTGACCTGGTTGGAAACTGGAGGAATCTCACCCGATGCGACTTTGGCATCAAACGGGGCGAGATCTTCGTTGGTGGCTTCGACTTCTTCATACCAACGAACCTTTCTCCTGGAGGAGAATTTGGACTTCTTGGACTTGCGGGGGGAGGTTGATCCAGACGAGGACAAGTATTCCTCGAACTTAGTTTGGTCGAACTCGTACTCAACCTCCTCCACGACCGGAATTGAAATCCGCATCTGCGACGCATCGATCTCGTCAGCGAGATCGTCGGCTCCCACTGTGGTCGCCAGATTGTTCACGGTGAAAATCGTTGCTTTCTTCATCATTGATTCCATTGCAAATTCTTGTAATAGTTTATCGATTACAAAGATCCGGTCTTTTTTATAAGATCCGGTTACAATGAAAATCAAAGAAAAAGAAAGAAGAATATTGCTATGGAAGCAATTTTGAGGACTTATCGCTCTATTGAAGAGAGTCGATAAGTGAATATTTGTCAGAGGTGTAGTGTTAACGTGACAAGAAGAATATTGCTATGGAAGCAATTTTGAGGACTTATCGCTCTATTGAAGAGAGTCGATAAGTGAATATTTGTCAGAGGTGTAGTGTTAACGTGACAAGAAGAATATTGCTATGGAAGCAATTTTGAGGACTTATCGCTCTATTGAAGAGAGTCGATAAGTGAATATTTGTCAGAGGTGTAGTGTTAACGTGACAAGAAGAATATTGCTATGGAAGCAATTTTGAGGACTTATCGCTCTATTGAAGAGAGTCGATAAGTGAATATTTGTCAGAGGTGTAGTGTTAACGTGACAAGAAGAATATTGCTATGGAAGCAATTTTGAGGACTTATCGCTCTATTGAAGAGAGTCGATAAGTGAATATTTGTCAGAGGTGTAGTGTTAACGTGACAAGAAGAATATTGCTATGGAAGCAATTTTGAGGACTTATCGCTCTATTGAAGAGAGTCGATAAGTGAATATTTGTCAGAGGTGTAGTGTTAACGTGACAAGAAGAATATTGCTATGGAAGCAATTTTGAGGACTTATCGCTCTATTGAAGAGAGTCGATAAGTGAATATTTGTCAGAGGTGTAGTGTTAACGTGACAAGAAGAATATTGCTATGGAAGCAATTTTGAGGACTTATCGCTCTATTGAAGAGAGTCGATAAGTGAATATTTGTCAGAGGTGTAGTGTTAACGTGACAAGAAGAATATTGCTATGGAAGCAATTTTGAGGACTTATCGCTCTATTGAAGAGAGTCGATAAGTGAATATTTGTCAGAGGTGTAGTGTTAACGTGACAAGAAGAATATTGCTATGGAAGCAATTTTGAGGACTTATCGCTCTATTGAAGAGAGTCGATAAGTGAATATTTGTCAGAGGTGTAGTGTTAACGTGACAAGAAGAATATTGCTATGGAAGCAATTTTGAGGACTTATCGCTCTATTGAAGAGAGTCGATAAGTGAATATTTGTCAGAGGTGTAGTGTTAACGTGACAAGAAGAATATTGCTATGGAAGCAATTTTGAGGACTTATCGCTCTATTGAAGAGAGTCGATAAGTGAATATTTGTCAGAGGTGTAGTGTTAACGTGACAAGAAGAATATTGCTATGGAAGCAATTTTGAGGACTTATCGCTCTATTGAAGAGAGTCGATAAGTGAATATTTGTCAGAGGTGTAGTGTTAACGTGACAAGAAGAATATTGCTATGGAAGCAATTTTGAGGACTTATCGCTCTATTGAAGAGAGTCGATAAGTGAATATTTGTCAGAGGTGTAGTGTTAACGTGACAAGAAGAATATTGCTATGGAAGCAATTTTGAGGACTTATCGCTCTATTGAAGAGAGTCGATAAGTGAATATTTGTCAGAGGTGTAGTGTTAACGTGACAAGAAGAATATTGCTATGGAAGCAATTTTGAGGACTTATCGCTCTATTGAAGAGAGTCGATAAGTGAATATTTGTCAGAGGTGTAGTGTTAACGTGACAAGAAGAATATTGCTATGGAAGCAATTTTGAGGACTTATCGCTCTATTGAAGAGAGTCGATAAGTGAATATTTGTCAGAGGTGTAGTGTTAACGTGACAAGAAGAATATTGCTATGGAAGCAATTTTGAGGACTTATCGCTCTATTGAAGAGAGTCGATAAGTGAATATTTGTCAGAGGTGTAGTGTTAACGTGACAAGAAGAATATTGCTATGGAAGCAATTTTGAGGACTTATCGCTCTATTGAAGAGAGTCGATAAGTGAATATTTGTCAGAGGTGTAGTGTTAACGTGACAAGAAGAATATTGCTATGGAAGCAATTTTGAGGACTTATCGCTC